CCCGGCCGTCGTGTTGTCACATCACCACCGTCGGTGCCGTCCTTATCGTCGTTTACGTCGGCGCACTTCGCTTACGCGCCGGCATTGAACGGAAATGAGAGTGCGACATACTCGTTATCCTTTTGCAGCGCGAATATGACGCGCGATCTTTCGAGCGTTCATCGAGATAGTTAAGTGTGCACTTAGGCGGATGGAAATTTTTACTTGCCGATGTTGCCAGACTTCTATAATTCTCGAGAACAGAGGAGAGAGAAAGAGACAGGAAGAGAGAAAGAAAAAAGGAGATTCGCGAAAAACGTCTCTTTTTCGCCCCGGTTTGATATCTCAGCACCCCGAGTAGCAAACTGACGCCATTTGTCGTTATTTTGATGTCGAGATGATGACAAATAACGTCAGTTTGCCACTTGGGGTGCTGGCATATTATTACGCACGAAAAAAGAAACGTTCATGAATTTCCTTTTCTTCTTTTTACATTTTTAATGTCATTTTGACGTCAAAATAACGACAAATACGTCAGTTTGCTACTTGGGGTGGTGGCACATTAAAACGCGCGCAGAAAAGAAACGTTTCATTTTTTTTTCTTACTCTTTTAACGTCATTTTGACATGAAAGTGACGACAAACAATGTCAGCTTGCTACCTGGGACGGCAGGTGCCGTAATCGCGTTGGCGCGCAAAATCGATTTTTCGACAGGTCGCGTTACGGTAGGTTTCGCGAGTCGTACTCTCGTCTAATCTCAGCGGTAACGCTCGGTAACACCGAAGAGGAAAGTACGCGGGAACAAACACTCTCGTTATGCGCTCTTAGCGTGAAGGAGTCGCACTGTGGCGGACACGGAACGTTGCTCGCGCGTCATTTCTCCGCATCACGGTCAGCGCACGTCGCGCCAGCCTGGGGCTCTCTCGCGAAATGGATAATAAAATTAAAATATTCATGACGTGCGCGTCACGTAGATGTTTCGAAACGCACCTGGGCTGGGATCGAAGAGTATCAATCGGAAGATAGTGGCTATCTATTATTTACTCGCGTATCGTTGAAACTCCTTAGCCGCGGAGAACGATCGGGGAACTATCAAGTCCCTCTCAACAAACTCGTTATTTCCAATCGTCAATCACGTTTCGTCCAATCGAATAAAAAGAATCTGTTATTTGCGAGAATACAATGGATTTGAGAGAATACAATGGATGAAGGAATACACGTCTCGTGCCACGTGTGTACATAAAGAAACGTACGCCGTGCAGCATGGACTCGTCTTCCGTCATCTCCTTGGATTGCGTTCCGCGAATTACGACGCCGCGCTTCTCTCAGTTCTGTCGCGAGAGCGGATGAGTAACGGCTAATGATAATATAATAATTATTATCGCTTCTGTAACTGTGCAGCGCGAGCTGAGAGTCGGGAAGCTCATCCTCGACACCCAGAAAGTCACGGAAAGGGCGGCCGGCGCGGCGCGCGGTCGGGTGTGGCCGCAATAATCATTTCACCTCGAGCGAGCAAATCATAGTGCATGGATCGACTTACTTGACGTTTAAAATGCAAAATGGATGACTTAAGTGGCACCCTTCCTGATGCTCTAATCAGTTATGAATTAATTAAAGCATTAACTCGGCGTTTCTTTGTAGCATTCGAGGAATAAAATTTTATGATGTTAAAATCAGGTTCGCGCTAATTGCTATCTCAGCTGCTTGGAGATATGCTAATGAATCTGAGTGACTCGTCGTCGTGGTTCATCGTCCTGCTGCTTACCAGCCAGGTGAATTTTAGACCTCGTATTTTTCGAAGTGGACGCTTCTTTCGCACTTCGAGGAGAGAGTGGCACTGAACAAAGGGATCGGATGAAAACGGTACCCGCAGCTAAATTGTGGACTTCTTGTTGCTTGACGCTCGCGAGATGCACGGATTCACCGCTACGAGAATTCTGATCGGTCTCCCCGCTGCTGCAGATTACTGTGGATAACGCAAGTTGGAGAATCTCTCGAGAACTCGGTCCCAAGGGTCGCGAACTTCACTTTCGTGAATAGATTATAGCTTGTCAGACGAAGAGTTACGTAGAATAATGCGTACGAATAATACATGCGTAAAAGAAACGAAAATGGACTTTTATTTTTTGAAAAAAAGGAATGTATTTTCCGTATGAAAAGGACGGCTTTGCTCAAGTACTTAAAAATTTAACTATAGCTACAGATCTAAAAATAATGTTGCTAGGCTATGAAAATAATTATGTAGTTCAAACTGGTTGCTTGAAGATACACACTTTTTGCAGCATTACTTATCCTTGAGATTCCTATGTAATTATTTTGATGGTTGAACAAAATTATTTTCAGATCTTAGGTAATTTCAATTTTAAAAAAGTTACGATACCAATTTGGATCGATAAGAATAAATCTAATTAAACAAGAAACATCTTATATTCGGTCAAAACGGATCTCAGTGCTTAAATATTTCAGTATGAATACATATCTGATTCTGCAAACCGTACGCTGAAATCTTTTTCGGTTTTGAAACTTGAAACGCAATCACGAACAGAATCATATTAATATCACTTATTAACATTTTATTATAT